TAATACTGTATCCCGCATAACAGTAAATCTTCTATTTTTTGTGTGAATAAAAAGTTCAAAATAGAAAGCAAGGTAAAAATAAAGGGGCCTGGAGATTGACTGAAGAACAGAGAAAATGTTATTTTAGTGCCAGAATGTCTGCATTATTCATTCTGGACCCTATTTTGAAACTGACATCTTTTTTTATTTGTGTGAAATTTGGCCAAATTGCCAAATTCTGACCTCTTTATTTTAGTAGTTGAAACAGTAAATGGGTGGTTCTTGTACTCATTCATAGAACAAGTGGAGTTCTAAACGAATTAGCTAGAGTTTGTCGACTGGAACAGTGAAATTGGCCGAAAATAGGGCTCAAATTGGGCAAAATCACCGATGCATAAATATCGCCGAGATTGCTAACTTCATGGGAGCGTAATTCCGTAAGCTTTCAATCAAATTTCGTACTTTTGGTGTCATTACTATCAGGAAAAGATTCTGTATCATTTCATAAGATTTTTTTTTTTTTTTTTTAAATTCTTCAACACTGTGAGCAAGTTTATGATCCAGGGATCTTTGACAGTCAAAGGGCTAAAACTATGCATGGATCCTGCCTCTGGCACTTCACTGTGTAGGTTATTCCACTTCCCAATAACTCTAAGGCTAAATCAGCATTTCCTAACTCATCTATGTTTTTAACTTCTAGCTCTGCTCTTGTGACCATGAGTCCCACCATGAAGTCTGTTCGTCTCGGTATTTTGTATGTTATCATCATGTCCCCCTGAGCCTTGTCCTCTAATACCATCAGGTTTACCTTCTTTGCCTCTCTTCATAGCTCATACCCTTTAACTTCAGAACTAGTCTTGTTGCAGACCTTTGACTTTTTTTCCAGACTCTTAATTTTTTTTTAACACATCAGCTATCTCCCACTGAGGTAGAGTACCCCAAAAAAGAAAGAAATGCTTTCACCATCATTCACATATAATCACTGTCTTTGCAGAGGTGCCCAGATACAACAGTTCAGATGTCACTCCACATAGCCAATATCCCTTACTGGTGTTGCATACTCCAAGATGGGTGTGACATTGGCTGGATATAGTTGTTGTGAATAACTCCTTGTTGGTGATCCTGAAAGTTACCTTAGATTTACCAGTCTTGTGTTTCCTTCAGAGATTATTCAGAGAGTGTGACTCAGACAACATACTCATTGAGGGAAAAGTGTTGTCATGGATTTGAGGGAAAAGTGCTGTTATGGATTTGAGGGAAAAGTGCTGTCATGGATTGAGGGAAAAGTGCTGTCATGGATTGAGGGAAAAGTGCTGTCATGGACTGAGGGAAAAGTGCTGTCATGGATTTTGAGGAAAAAGTGCTGTTATAGATTGAGGGAAAAGTGCTGTCATGGTTTGAGGGAAAAGTGCTGTCATGGATCGAGTAATGGCTCACAGACAGGAAACAGAGGGTGTCCATAAATGGGGTTAAACTCTGAGTGGGAATCTGTAACAAGTGGCATTCCACAGGGATCAGTCTTGGGCCCGTTGTTGTTTATAATATATATCAATGATCTTGGTGAGGGAATTAACTAGTGAAATGAACAGATTCGCTGATGACACAAAGATAGATAGGATAATTGATTCAAACATAGATATCAGGGAACTTCAGGAGTATTTAGACAAACTCAATACCTGGTCAGAAAAGTGCAGATGCAGTTCAGTGTAGATAAATGTAAGGTTCTGAAGCTCGGGAGTCTTCACAACCTAGGACTTGTAAGCTAAAATAATGTAGAATTTAGCCATACAGATTGCTAAAAGGACTTGGGGTTATGATAAGCAGCAACCTTAAACCAGACAGCAATGCCTAAGCGTACATAATAAGGCAAACAGATTACTGGATTTATATCAAGAAGCGTAAGCAGCAGAAGTTCAATGGTTATAAACCCAGCTTTACAAAATCATTAGAAAGGCCCTCCTAATTAGCAGCTCAGTTCTGGCTCCATATTAAACAAAAGGGAACATAAATTCGTTAGAAAACATTCAGCGTAGAATGACAAATTAATACATACCATTAGAAATCTTCCAAATGAAAAAAGTTTTGAAGACCTTTAAATTACTTTCACTTTTTTAAAACGAAGAATGGGGGGAGACATGATCAAAGGAAATAAGTGGAAGATGGGTATTAATAAAGGGGAATAAAATAAGGTTTTGGGGAAATCTCTCAAAGAGAGAACCTGCAGTAATGGACAAAAATTTAAGACAAGTTTAAATTTAAAAGGACATGGGAAAGTTTTGGTTGATGAGGGAAAAACATTTCTACCTATTTGGGGGTTATTGAGGCTGGGGACTTTGGGTATTTAAAAATTTTGGGTTTTGGGAAAAATACACGAGTGAGGGGGTTGGTTTTAGGGGGACTTGCAATGAGTGATATTTTTTTTTTTACAAGTGGCCATTTTCCCACTGGGGCAGGGGGGCCCCCAAAAAGAAAAAAATATTTTTCCATAAAGCATTAAACACTTTCACCTCACCCACAAAAATAACCTGCCCCCCCCCTGTTTTTGAAAAACCCGGGTTTTTCGATGCTTTTTAACGAAATTTTTTTCGCCCGGTATCCGATCGAAAAACCCGGTAGGGGTTTAAAATTTGATACGAACTGTCCACGTTTTGGCCTGAACTGCCCCGTGTGTCCATGTTTAAAAACCCAGCCAGTGTGCTCACATCAAAGGAAAACATTCGGACTTTATCATTTTTTTTTGGTGCTAGTTTCTGCAAAATAAGTTCCAGGGGTTCCCCAAGAAAGCTTCTATCCCAAACCCCCCTGGGGTAAAAAGGGTGAAAATTTGGGGATGGAAATTAAAAAAAATTTAAAGGGGTTTGGGGGCTAACCCTGAGAGCCTATGCCAGTTTGGAATCCTTTGTGCCTGTTTCAAAAATTAAGGAAATGTGTGCACATTTGGGTTGAACTGAAAACCTTTTAAAGGGATGAAAATCCCCCTAACACAGTTTATTGCAAGCCGTGCTGGTGACTTTTAAAATTTGCCAATTTTTTGGGGCCCAATTTAGAAAAATTTCGAAAAAGGAAGGGGAAGGTACAGACTCTAGGGGAACAGATTTTTGTGCGACAGAGGCCCAAATTAACTTCAACCTGGTCCTTTTGGGCATTAAAAAAAAGGGGAAGAAACCCCCAAAAAAGGGAAACTTGCAACCCCAAGTCCTAAGGGAAAGGGGGTTTCCCCCTTTAAAAACACTGACACCATCCACACACTTCCCCCCTCCCCCATCCCATTAAAATCCCCCACCAGTTTTCCCTTAAAGGTAAGTGTAAATTTATTCATTGTTAATGTTGTTATTGAAATTTAAATTTTTTTGAAATTAAATTTTAATATTTCATGGGGAAAAATATTTTTTTTCATATTTTGGGGGTTTGTTTTGGGCAAGTTTAAATTTTTCCATTATTTTTTTGGGGGAAAACTTGTTTCCTTTTTTCGATATTTTCGGTTTTTTGATGGGGGCCTCTCAGGAAGGGTTTTTAAAAATAAAATCCCAGGGCCCAAACTAACATATAAAGATAAAACACAAAATCCCCAAACTGCTAATATCCCAAACCCCCTTTTTTTAAAGGGGTGCAGGCATTGAAAATTTCCCCCACTTCCAGGACCCCAAGCCCCGCTATATAAAAAAAACCCGGGTTTTCCTGAACCCCTTTCACTAAATAAAACCCTGCCCCACAATCCAACAGTTTCTCAGGCCCCAAATACCATTCGCCCAATTCATCCTACGAACCCGCCCCTGAAAATCCCCCCTGCGGGAAAGGGTCCAACCCCTTGCCCCAAAACCCCCCCTTAAAGTAGCATTGAAAATTGGCTGCTTTCTCACTACTACACTATTTATGCCCCCCCTCTCCTTCCGCAGTATTTAAGTCCTCCGCACTGCCCCGTTTGGTTTTTAAATTTATTTCCCTTTTACTAGGGAATTTGAACTTCTCCAGGCTGGGGGAACTGAAAAAACCTAAAATCTACGATTTTAAAGGGGTGATGGACTGTTTACATCGTCTTCACATCCAAACTTTTTCCGGGCCCTACTTTCTGTATTCGACTGAAAAAGCCACGGGGTACCCGAAACTTTGGGAAAAAGCTGCCTAACTTTTGCCTTGTGTTTTAAACCTAACAACGTAGATCTATTTTTTGGACATTTTAAGGGGTTAAATTTGCAGGCATTGTACTTCCACCTCCAGGGTCAAGCCCGGGCCCCAAAAAAAACCCCCGGGGTTTTTTTTTTTTTTCCTGAACCCCTTTCAAAACATTTTCACCCAGGCCCAAAAAACCAAGCGGGGGGCCTTGGACTTCCAGCAAGCATGTTGACCCGTGTTAGAAAGGGGAAATGAAGACAAAGGGTTTTTGGGGACCTGACAACTGTTGGATTGTGAGCGGGGTTTAATATTTTGTAAAGGGGATTTAAAGGGAAAACCCGGTTTAAAGCCAGATTTGACTCCGGGAAAATTTTAAGAAACAATGCCTGAATTTTTAAAGGGAAGGGTTTGGGAATTTTGGGCCTTTTTTTGGAGGGATTTCAAAATTGTCTTTACCCTGAGTGCCTCTAAAAGACATTGATTATGTACGATTTAAGGGGGAAAGTGTTGAATGATGAAAGTATTTTTTTTTTGGGGTTTCTCTTTTTTTTGGGCCCAACCCTGCTTGGTGGGAGTTGACCGACTTTTTAAAAAAAAAAAAATTTTAAAATTATCTGAAAATATAAAATTTGTGTGTCTTAGGGCCAATAAAAGGTTGGTTGCCCAAAGTAAACAGCATGATTGTGTATTTTAAATTTTAAAATGAAACAAAAAAAATGCCTTGAGCATCAAATCTAACAAAAAGTTACAAAATTAATTAGGCTAAAAAAATATTTATTTTTTTCCCTTAGTCAAGATTTCAGTCTGTATCCCTTTGAAGGGGTTTAAACAATTTTAAATAAAAAAAAATAAAAAGAATACAGTGATAATGATTTTTCTTTTATCTATGGGAGAAAACTGGGGGGAAGCTCACGCCAGAAAGCCAAGAAACAAAAAAAGGGGAAAAACACGACAGGCTGAAGCAGATAGGGGGAAGCCCTTTGAGGCGACAAGGCAAAGTGGCAGCATTTTAAAACCAAAAGCAAAAGGGGTAAGAAAAATTTTTTTTCCACTGCAGATTTATTTTTTCCCTCTCAGGGGCCTAGTTTAAAATTTCTTACTTTTTATAATCTTTTAATAAATTATTTTCCCTGTGATGCTTTGATTTTTTTTTTGTGTGGGGTTGGGAACATTTCAAAGGAGATCCGCCCTTGATGCGGGGGAATTAAAAGCTAGGCTCGATTACGCAAATAATGAATCGTGTGAAGTGGTCACATTATTAAATTTTTATTTTTTTTTTTTTTTTTTTCCCAAAAAGTGGGGCCGTCCCCACCGAGGCAGGGTGACCCAAAAAAGAAAGAAAATCCCCAAAAAGAAAATACTTTCATCATAAATAAAACACTTTCACCACACTCGCACATTATCACGGGTTTTTTTGAAAGGGGGTGCTCAGAATACAACATTCTAGAAGCATACACATATAAAGATCAAAACCATATCCCCCCAAAACTGCCAATATCCCAAACCCCCCCTTTTTAAAGTGGGGGAAATTGTACTTCCCATTTCCAGGACCCCAAGCCCGACATAAGAAAAAAAAACCGGTTTCCCTGAATCCCTTCACTAAATATTCCCCTGCCCCACATTTCCAACAATCGGGGGTCCCAAGTACCTTCGCTCCTTCACTCCAACTAACACCTCACCACACTTGCGGGAAAGCCCCAAGCCCCTTGCCCAAAAAACCCTCCTTTACCCCCCTCCCCCCAAACCCCCTTTTCGAGACAAACCCCCTACCCCGCCCCTTCCCCTATAGTTTTTTTAAATCCCTTTTCCATGTCTTTTCTACTTTGTTTCCCATTCCACTGCCTCCAACCGTCTCCTGCTGCTGCATTACCACCCAAAGCGACAAAATTTGCTGGGAGCAAGGGCAAGTAACCACTTCTCCTTAAAAAATTACTAAATTTTGAAAAGAGAAACTTTTTTTTTTTTCTTTTTGGCCCCCAACCCTGCCCGGGGGAAAAGGCCGGTTTGTTGAAAAAAAAAAAAAAAAAAATTTATAAATATATAAATATATATAAAATTTTAATTTTTTCTTTCTTTTTTTCTTTCTTTCTTTCTTTCTTAAAACACACCGGCTGTATCCCCCCGGGGGCGGGGTCCCCCAAAAAGGAAAAACAAAAATTTTCCCTCCCTTTTACATTTAGTAAAATATCCCGGAAAAAGGGGTTTTACTACCCCGGCCCTGGCATTTTAGTTGCCTCTTACAAAAACCATGGCTTTACGGGGGAAAAATTTCCCTTTTCCCACTTCCCCCCAGGGAGGTAAAGGGGAAATAAACAAGAAAAAGAACTAAAAAGAAAATGGGAAAAATACCCAGGGGAGGTGTTAATAATCTTGTACAGTATTGAAAATTGTGACCTAAGTGTAATAGAATAGAAAAGAACGTACCTAAACCCTTTTGCATTTTCATGAGAAAAAAAAAAATGGAAAACCGGGCAATCCTACCATCATGAAAAACAATTACAGTTTTACATTTTACACTTCACTTGGCGGGACTTTAGAACCCCCCCTGGTGGTTGCTGTCTCCCAAACCCCAAACACCAAATAAAATATATATATAAAATATTAAATGCAATAAGATCACAGAAACAGGTGTTTCAGAATATGCAAAACAACCACTCTGAAAGAATAGAAAAATTTCCAAAACGCTTTCGTGCTACTCACATTACAAGGAAATAGAAAGTAAAGCATCCAAGGAAGCTATATAAGGGGTCTGATTTGGGGGTGCCGACCAACCCCTTTTTATAGCTTCCCCGAAACTTTAAATTTCATAGTTCCTTATAAAGTGAGTAGTCACGAAAACGCTTTGGGTTTTTTCTATTTTTTTCAGAGTGGTTTTTTTTCGTATATAATAAATATATATATAAAAATATATATTAAAATTATATATAAAATATATATATATATATATTTTATATATATATATATATAAAATATAATATTTTATATATATATATATATATTAAAAAATATATATATATATTATATATAAATAAATATATATATATTAAAATAAATTAAATATATAAAATTATAAATATAAAATTTTTAAAAATATATATAATTTTTATATATATAAATATATATATATTAAAATATTTTATTATATATATTTAAAAATATATATTATATATATTAAATTTTATAATAATTATATATATTAAAATATTTTTTTATATAATAATAAATATTAAAATATAAAATATTTATATATAAATATATATTATATATATATAAAATATATTATTTTAAAATTAAAAATTTTAAATAAATATTATATAAATATAATATATATTTTATATAAAAATATAAATATATTTTAAAAAATGTGGTATATTAAAATATATAGGGAATATATATTTTCCCAAAAAGTGGGGGGGCCCTCTCCCACCGAGGCAGGGGGAAACCCAAAAAAAAAAGAAAACCCCAAAAAGAAAATACTTTCATCATCATTCAACACTTTCCCCCACACTCACACGTTATCACGTTTTTTTCAGAGGGGGCTCAGAATACAACATTTTTTGAAGCATAACACATATATAAAGATACACAACATATCCCTCCAAACTGCCAAAACCCAAACCCCTCCTTTAAAGTGCGGCATTTTACTTCCCATTTTTCCGGACTCAAGTCCGGGTATATAAAAATAAACCCCCTTTCCCCGAAACCCCCTTTACTAAATATTACCCCCGCTCACATCCAACAGATCGCAGGGCCCAAATACCATTCGCTCCCCTTACTCCTACTAAAACGCCATGCACGCTTTCTGGAAATCCCAAGGGCCCCCTTTCCCCAAAAACCAAAAATTCTTAACCCCCCTTTTCTCCAACCCTTTCGAGGGCAATCCCTACCCCGCCTTCCTTTTCCCCCATAGGAAATTTTTATGCTTCCCATTCATTCTACTTTTTATCCATTCTCTCTAAAAAGACCAAAACCCCCCCCCCAAAAAACCCCTCTTCTGCTTTCCGACTAATACTTTTAGTAAAAATCCACACCTTTTCCTAAATTTTCCCCACTCCGAATTTTCGCAAAAATTTACACCACACATTGCCCTTTAAAAAGGACATCCCCACGCCTCCAACCGTCTCCCCGCTGCTACTTTTTCCACCCCAAACTTCACAACCCAAAATAAGGGGGGGTGTTTGGGACTACTATACTTTTCTAAAATTCCCTTTTTGCCCCAAGTAACGTTTTTTTTACTCCACATATACCTCAACGCCCACCAAACCTTTTTTCCCTCTCAATTCTATGATTAAACCCCATCCTTCATAAATCCAAACCCCCGACATTTTAACTTCCCCCAAATAAACGAAAACATTCACTTTTTTCCCTACTCCTCCCCCCCAATTTGATATCCCCAAATTTTTTTTTTATCAAAACATTTGATACCCTCAACACCTTTTCTCCTTTTTTTATTTAAATTTCAACTTTTTACCTTTTAAAAAAACATTCCCCCAAAATCCCAAATAACCTTTGCAATTTTTCTTTTGAACTCCCATAACAAAGTAGCATCAGCAAAAAGTAACTGGGGGGGGGGGGTCCAAACCCTTTTGGGAAATTTTATTCCCCAAAATTTTTAAACCCCCCCCTCTCCCCAAACCCCTACATTTACCCTTTCCCTTTTCAAAAACCCCCTCTATAAAAATTTTTTAACAAACCCTGGTGACATTTCACATCCCCCCTTTTAAACCTACTTTTAAACCGGGGAAATAGTCTCCCCTCCTTTTTACACACCCTAACCTGAGCCTCACTATTTTCCCCTAAAAACTCCCTTTTCAGCATTTAAAAACTTACCCCCCTATTCCATAAACTTGCAACATCTGCCCATTGCTCCTCTATCCACTCTATCATATGCCTTTTCTAAACCCTAAATCAAAAAAAAATTTTCCCCACCCCTTTTTCTAAAAACTATTCACATATAGGGTTCAATGTAAAAAACTTGATCACACATCCCCCTTTCCCACTCTGAAACCTCCCTTTCTCTCCGCAATCCTACTTTTGTCTTACCTCTAAATTTTTCAATTTTAAAACCCCACCGTAAAAACTTTTTCCCGGTATACCATAAACTTATTTCTCTATAATTTTTAAAAGTCCTTTTTTTGGTTTCCCCCTTTTTTTCCTTTTTTAAAGGGGGCTATACATGCACTCTGCCAAACCCTAGGTACCTTTTCCCCCCTTTCATAAAATTTTTTAAACAAAAATACCAACCACGCCCAAAACTATATCCCCCCCTGCTTTTAACATTTCGTCATGATCCCATCATTTTTCCCGCTGCTTTACCCCCCCCTTTTATTCTAAAGTAATGCCCCCACTACCTCCCCCAACTTACATTCTGTCTTTTTCCCCCAAATCCCGAAAGATGGTAACCCCCCCTGACCAGTGCATGAAATTACTGCCCCTCTTTCTTCCTTAACATTTAAAAATTTTCCCCAAAATAATTTTCGCCATCTACCTAATACCCTCCCTCTCCCATCCCACAAAATCCCCTACTCTGTTTTTTAAATTTACAAATCCATAATTTCCTAGGGTTTCTTAACTTTTTTTTTAACTCACTTCCCCAAAATTTTTTTTTTTTTTCAATTTAAAATTTTTCCCTTTACATGCCTCTCCCCCTCTATCTCTGCCTCCTTTTTCACTCTCTCCCAACTCTCCCTTTTCCTTTTTTTTTACTCTTTCCCCCACCCCTTTTCTTATAACACTTTCTGCTTTGTAAAAACCCTCATAAGCTACCTTTTTCCTTTTAAACACCCCTTTTCTTTTATCATTCCACCTCACTCCTCTTTTCCTCCCCCCCCCCCCTCCCCAAACCACAAACTTCTGCCCCCCATTCTAATACGCATTTTTAAAAATATTCCAACCCCTTCCCAACCCCCCCCCCCACTCATCTTTGCACTAGCCCACCTTTCTGCCAAAACGCTTATAACTCCCCCAACTTTTCCCCTCCCCTTTGTTTATAAAAACTTTTTTACCCTCCCCCCCTACTTGTTTTGCCACCCTTCCCCTTTTTCCCCCTCTACCTTTTTACTCTAAATGAAAACCCAGAACAAAAAAATGATCCAATTATCAGTTGCCCCTCTAAAAACCCTGTAACCCCTGGAGCCTACCCTCAACCCTTTTTTCCACCAATACATAATCTAATAAACTACTTTCATTTCGTGCTATATCATAAAACCCTTTATAATTTAAATTTTTTCCTCTTTTCATAAAATATGATTTCTTATTACCAAATCTCTTTTTACACATAGCTCAATTAAAGGCTCCCCATTTTCATTTATCCCTGGCACCCCAAAATTTTTCCTACTACCCACCTCCATAACATTTTTAAACCCCCTTTAGCATTGAAATCCCCAACCACCATTTTTCTCCCCACTTGATTCAAAACTCCCCCCGCATTCACTCAAAAATTTCCCAAAATCTCTCTCCCTCCTCTACACTTCCTTTTCTTCTCCAGGTGCATACCCCGCTTATTATAACCCCCTTTTCCCCATCCAATCTTATTTTACTCCACATAATCCTTGAAAATTAAAACATTTAAAGTCCCTCTTTTTCCCCGCCATAGCTTATCCTTCAACTTTTTTACTACTCCCTTTTTAGCTCTAACTCTATTTTAAACCCCGACCTAATCCCCCCCTTTTTCCTCTTTCCCTTGAAACTCTCCCCCCCCCCTTCAACTTTATTTTACTTTAAAACCAGGGCATCCAGCTTCTCATTTCCCTAACATCCACAATTTAAACTCTTTCCCTTTTCATTTCACAACATTTCCCTGCACATTCAGACTTCCCACTTTTAAAAATTTTTCTTCTTTTTATTCTTTTTGTAATCTTTAGAGGAAAAGGGGTTACTAGCCCATTGTTCCCGGCATTTTTGTTTTACTTTTACAAAAGCCATGGCTTACGGGGGAAGAAATTCCCTTTTTCCCCTTTCCCCCTGGATATAAAAGGAAAAGGTTTAAAAAAATTTATATATATATATATATTTTTTTTTTTTCCCAAAAAGTCGGCCGCTCCCACCAGGGAAAGGGGGACCCAAAAAAAGAAAGAAAATTCCCCCCCAAAAAAAAAAAAAAAAAAAAAATACTTTCATCCCTCCCTTCAAAACTTTACCCCCACACTCGCACATTTTCACTGTTTTTTTTCCCGAGGGGCCCCAGAATAAAAACAGTCTAGAAGCATACACACATAAAGATACACAACATTTTCCCCAAACCCTCCAAACTGCCCCAAATCCCAAAAACCCCCCTTTAAAGTGCAGGCCTTTTACTTCCCATTTCCCCGGACTCAATCCGACTATATGAAAAAAAACCGGTTTTTCCCCGAATCCCTTCATAAATTTTTAAAACCCCGCCCAAAAGACCCCAGGTTCCAAGTATCATTTTGTCTCCATTCCCCTTTTCCCATCTAAAAACGCTCAAAGCACGCCTTTCCCGGAAGTCCCAAAACCCCTCCGCCCCCAAAACCTCCTTTAAACCCCCTCTTTTCCCAAACCCCTTTTGGGGCGACCCCTACCCTCTTTCCTTTCCCCCAAAATTTATATGCCCTTTCCCTGTCAATTTTAAATTTTATCCATTCCCCCTCTAAAAGACCAAACCAAACCCCAACAAACCCCCCTTTTGCCCTCTGCTAATGCTTTTTTTAAACCCCCACAAACCCTTTTCCTAAATTTTTCCCCACTCCGAATTTTTTTGCATAATATTTAAAACCACAAAATTGCCCTTAAACAGGGCATCCCACTGCCTCCAACCGTCCCCTCCTTCGCAATTTAAACCCCCCAAGCTTCACATCCATATAAGATGTTGGAAATTTCTAAACTTTTAACATTCCCCCCTTTTTCCTCCATAGATAAAAAAATTTTTTTACTCCACATATTCCTCAACGCAAACCCCTCACCTTTTTTCCCCCCACAATTTTATGATTAACCCAAACCTTTAAAAATCCATCCGCCGACAATGTTCAACTCCCAAGTACTTAAAACCCTTCACTTCCCTTTTAACCCTTTCCCCTCCCCAAATTTGATATCCAAATTTTTTTTTTATCTAAAACTTTGAACCCCCATCACCTTACTCTTTTTTATTTTCAATTTTAAAAATTTTTATCTTTACACACATTCTCAAACTCACCACTAACCTTTGGGAAAATTTTCTTTAGAATCTCCCATAAAAACATTTTCATCAGCAAAAAGAAATGTGTCAATTCCCCTTTTGAATTTTATTTTCCCCCAAAAATTTAAAACCCCCCCCCCTCTCCCGAAAACCCCAGCTTTACTTTTTTTTTCAACCCCATCTATAAATATATTAAACAACCATGGTGACATAACACATCCCGTCTAAGAACCTACTTTTACCGAGAAGTTTCCCCCCTCTCTTCTACACACCCTACCCCGAGCCTCACCCATCCCATAAAAACCTTTACAGCATTTTTAAACTTACCACCTATTCCATATACACAGGGCCCCGCTTTACGGCGTTTCACTTTACGGGGTTTTCCCCTAAAACGGGGCATTTCAAATTTTTGACCCCAAAAATTCCCCCTATAAAGGGTCCCCCCACTTTTTAATTTCTAATACTGTTCACCTTAACCCCCCAACCCCGTTTTTTTACATTCTTCCCTGAGGGCCCGTAAGCACTAAGTCCCCCTCCATTTTTCTGGAAACTCCAAAATTTCAAATTTTTTTTTAAAAATTATTTTTCATTTTTTTATATTACAGTGGGACCCCCCCCCATACCGATTGGGATCACATAACGATTAATCCGCATACCGCTTGCTTTAATCGCAAAAATTTTGCCTCGCATACCGCTTAAAAACCCGCTCACCGATTTTCGTCCGAGACGCGTCCAATGTGCGGCCTGAGCCATGCTCACATGTTCCGCCGGTGGCATTGTTTACCAGCCAGCCTCCGCGGTAACATCCAAGCATACAATCGGAACATTTCGTATTATTACAGTGTTTTCGGTGCTTTTTCTGGAAAATAAGTGACCATGGGCCCCAAGAAAGCTTCTAGTGCCAACCCTACAGCAATAAGGGTGAGAATTACTATAGAGATGAAGAAAAAGATCATTGATAAGTATGTCTCCGAGCTGGCCAGGTTGTATAATAAACCCCAATCAACCATCGCTACTATTGGTGGTACAGCTGCTGCTGCTGCTGCACTGTCAGCTGCTGCTGCTGCTGTAGCATCGTCTGCTGCTGCTGTACCACCGTCAGCTGCTGCTGCTGCTGTAACATCGTCTGCTGCTGCTGTAGCATCGTCTGTTGCTGCTGTAGCATCGTCTGCTGCTGCTGTAGCATCGTCTGTTGCTGCTGTACCACCGTCAGCTGCTGCTGCTGCTGTAGCATCGTCTGCTGCTGCTGTAGCATCGTCTGCTGCTGCTGTAGTATCGTCTGTTGCTGCTGTACCACCGTCAGCTGCTGCTGCTGCTGTAGCATCGTCTGCTGCTGCTGTAGCATCGTCTGTTGCTGCTGTAGCATCGTCTGCTGCTGCTGTAGCATCGTCTGTTGCTGCTGTACCACCGTCAGCTGCTGCTGCTGCTGTAGCATCGTCTGCTGCTGCTGTAGCATCGTCTGCTGCTGCTGTAGTATCGTCTGTTGCTGCTGTACCACCGTCAGCTGCTGCTGCTTGCTGTAGCATCGTCTGCTGCTGCTGTAGCATCGTCTGCTGCTGCTGTAGCATCGTCTGCTGCTGCTGTAGCATCGTCTGTTGCTGCTGTAGCATCGTCTGTTGCTGCTGTAGCACTGTCAGCTGCTGCTGCTGTAGCATCATCTGCTGCTGCTGTAGCACCGTTATTGGTGTGGCTTATTGAGAATATACCAAGAAACAATTAACCCCAGAGGATTTTCCACCCAGGATAACCCAAAAAAGTCAGTGTCATCGAAGACTGTCTAACTTATTTCCATTGGGGTCCTTAATCTTGTCTCCCAGGATGCAACCCACACCAGTCGACTAACACCCAGGTGAACAGGGAAAATGCCTGGAACTAGTGCTCATATTGGTGAATTTAAAGCCAGCAAAGGTTGGTTTGAGAGATTTAAGAATCGTAGTGGCATACACAGTGTGATAAGGCCTGTTCTGGAAGAAAATGCCAAACAGGACCTACAGTACTCAGGAGGAAAAGGCACTCCCAGGACACAGTGTCTCATCAGTCATTGCTGCATCTTCAATAAAGGTAAGTGTCATTTATTCTTCATTTAGTAGAGTAGAAACATGCACAATATATACTGTGCATGTACTACTCTACTATTGTGCATGTATCCTTCTCTTTGTGTGTAGGAAAATGTATATTTCATGTGGTAAATTTTTTTTTTTCATACTTTTGGGTGTCTTGCACGGATTAATTTGATTTCCATTATTTCTTATGGGGAAAATTCATTCGCATACCGATCATTTCGCATAACAATGAGCTCTCATGAACGGATTAATATCGTTATGCGGGGGTCCACTGTACTCTGATAATTATACTTATGTATACCTGTACTTAAATAAACTGCTGTGCTGGCATGCAGGTACACATCAAAAACAGTAAGAGTGTCGTATGTCTCCAGACGTCATATTAGTAATGATAATAATAATCATCGAGTCTCATTTAAATGTCGTATATTACGTTAAATACACATTTTCATTAATCCATCTATGATATTTTTTCAAAATTATATAATAAACACGATACATAACATAAAAAGATGATAAATACACCCCACAATAGAATAAACATAAATATGAGATGTGGTAGCCAGATAACTTGTACAAGTGATGCCAAGAATAACATTTTCTCTAATCTAACATAAGAGAAAATGTGTTACTGGGGGTAACTGTAGAAAATTATTCCTTTCGTATGTATGTAAGTAAGTTTATTCAGGTATACACAAATACAGTTACATAGATTATCATGCATAACAACATATGTGTAGAGAACCTAGGATAACCCAAAAAAGTCAGAGTGACTTATTTCCATTGCCTTCACTCAGAGCATCATTTCTTCTCAAAATGATGTTACATGAGAATGGGAGTGTTCTTCTTTATTTATTCTACCGTATCAATGTAGAGACAACCTGTACACAATGTAACTTGTACACAAACCAGACGTGTATACTTTGTTTACAAAACTTACCTTCGCCTGGTTTGTTTACATAACTCTGCGCCTGTACTCTCTCATGCACTCATTCTTTCTCTCTCTCATTTATTCGTTTTATCTCATTTACTTACTCCTGACCTTACATTAAGACTACAAATATTTTAAGGTAAGTAATGAGTGAACTGTAATATACATTTTTATCGCTCTGGGATGCTTAAATATCATAGAATTGTATGTGTGGGTGGGGTGGCCTGGTATGGTAGCCTGGCTGACTACCATACATACCACACTTGATGTCTTACAATAAATACTACTTGTCTCACCCTAGATTAAGACTATAAATATTTTAAGGTAAGTAATGAGTGCACTATGTGTGTATTGTACTTTTTTATTGTTTTTGATGCCTGGTTCTATTGCTAACTTAATATATGTTAGTGTAAACTTGTTATCTAGTGTTTGTATGCATTTGTAAGTGGAAAAATAGAGTGTTCCACTTTACGGCGGTAGCCTGGAACCTAACCAGCCGTATAAGTGGGGCCCTACTGTACTTGCAACATCTGCCACATTGCTCCTCTATCCACTCTATCATATGCCTAATATTTTATATATATATATATATATATATATATATATATATATATATATATATATATATATATATATATATATATATATTTTTATATATATATATATATATATATATATATTATATATATATATATACGTATAATAAAAAAAAATATATATATATATACACACGTATACGAGATGTAGCTCTGAGTTACCTATGTTGTTTTGCTTTCTGTTGTATTTTTGTATTTATATATATAATATATATATAAATACTGTATATATATACAGTGGACCCCGGTTAACGAACTTTTTTCATTCCAGTAGTATGTTTCAGGTGCCAGTACTGACTGAATTTTTTCCCATAAGGAATATTGTGAAGTAGATTAGTTTCCATTTCAGACCCCCAAACATACACGTACAAATGCACTTACATAAATACACTTACATAATTGGTCGCATTTGGAGGTGATCGTTAAGCGGGGGTCCACTGTATATATATATATATATATTAATTTTTTTTTTTTTTTTTTTTTTTTTTTTTAAGAAAAACGTATGTTTCTCTTTTGAAATTCATTAATGTATACAGGAGAAGGGGTTACTAGGCCCTTGCTATCAGCATTATAGTTGCCTCTTGCAACACGCAAGAATTCTGTTCTATTTTCCCATTGAGATGGTACAGTAATATTCCTTTAAATCTAAACGTGTTGCTTTATTCACCAGATTAAAAAGCTGAAGGGAGTGACGAAGAAATCCATATTCGCAACACCTGATGCAGCAAATGGAAGAGTTGGCATAGGCACATGTGGTATTGGAGGAAAACCAATGACAGAATACACACATGCAGAAAAGTGGCGAAAAGGGACCTAAGATGTGAATCTCCCAAGCATTCAATATATTTTTACCAAGGGACAAAAAACATTTCACGAAAATACTGTTATTTTTGATGTTCATTGTACCTCTCAAAAGTGGGAAGGAGTTATCATGAACTTCTTCATCTTTGGGTTCATTACTTGTTCATATTGACCAATTTTACTATTTTCATACGATAAGGTAATTAGACATGATTTTAAAATGATTATAATAAAATAAAAAACTTTAATGAGCAGAAGCCAAATTTTAATCTTGGACACAGTTAATAAATCAGTTGGTGATGTTGGTTGAATTTTTTTTTGTGTGTGGATTTGAATAGACATTGGATTAACACTTTATCCTTGTAAAGTGTGCAATTTTAAATGAACAATGGAGCCAGCTAAAAGTTACATCAGCCAGTGAGCACACCTCTGGTTTCTGACATTTTAACCTCCCAGCAATTCGTCTGTGTTTACTCTGCTTCGTTTACGTACATTGAGATAATATCACTCCCTTCTCATGTATTATTTCATTTTCTGTTGGGCTCATTTAGAAGAAATAAATTTTTGTTAATTTGCTTCAACTTAACCAAAACTAACCTTGCATTAGTAAATAACTCCCGTGGAAGCTAGAACATCTGAAAAACTAATGGTGTGCTTACTTGACAATGTTCCTTTTTCATATATTGTCAGTCATTAAAATTGCACACATTTCTTAGGACAGTGTGTGTGGATTAAATACTAAGAAGCAGTTGCAGGCTTTATCATGTGTTCAGGTTGTTTGAACTTTTAACCAAAACACTGTCCCAGTGTACATGTAATATTTTCCTAAAAATGATCAGTTTATTTAATTGTATTTGTATTTTTGTCTATTCAGCTTTTATATTTCCCATCAAAGTCTTCCCAGCTCATTTTTGATCCTTTCCTACTTTCTCATTATCACCTTTTGTATAAACTGTCATTCAATATTCATTCCCTTTTCTTTGTTTGGGGCTTATTTTATCTTAACTACTTCCCTCTTTAATGCCGGTAGAAAGGGGCTAGTAACCCCTTCTCCTGTATATATTACTGAATGTGAGAGGAGAAGCTTTCGTTTTTCCTTTTGGGCCACCCCGCCTCGGTGGGATGCGGCCAGTGTGTTGAAAGAAAGAAGACTTCCCCTTTTGTGTTTTGTTCCTCACAAGTTTCTTTGCTCTTTAGATAAGTACAGTAAGCTAGAATGAAAGTCTAATAAAAGAGTTATTGCTGAGAGTTCAGTTAAAAATAAATTATGTGATTAGGTAGCATAATGAGCATCACTGAAAGCACGAGATATATTTACCTTTCATCTGACTGGGTGGCACAAAATACCCTGAATCATTAATGATCCTTTCCTGGTAATGTTTGATGTTTGCTCATCACATTTGAGACAACAAATATTTCTTGACCATTATTTGTAAGAATCTTATGCTCCAGATGTTTTTGTCAGTTACCATTTATTACGTATAGTGACTGGCTGACTTATCAGGTAGGTAGAATTGACTAATATTGTATGTAAAAACAGCTTTTCTTATTTGCCATGCAGATAAAACCTGTGAAATATAAAATAAAAATTTTCCTACCTTTCCCTTGAGTTGATGCTCTTAATTACCACAAATAGGATAGTTGATTTTTCCAAGAGGTACCCAAGCCAAAATGTGTACCTAGGATGCAGCAATATATATTTAGTATGTTAGAACAAACATTTATTGGGAGGAAAGGTGGGATGTTACAGTTTTGAGGGTCATTTGAAGTGTTATTTGAGCAGTTCTGGCAGGACAGCTATTAAATGAATGAATGATTCTATCTTTCTTTGGGGGAAAGGAAGAGTCAGAGGGTTGCCCAACATTTGTGGGAGATACTCAATATGGTGAAAATTAAAATACATGTACCTGTATTAGTGAGTGGAACAAAAATTATATGTGAAGGTATGCCATATTCATAATTAATATTACAGTAGATGTAAAATAATGAAAACCAAAATAACACATGCAAAAGCAGGTACAATTCTTCAAACCCCAATGTACTATGTTGGTAGTAAGTTTTCAGTGAGGGGCTACCATCCTGTTATATTGGTGGAAACTGGCAGCATTGCTTAAAAAAAAATTCCTCCATTCTGTATACATATGCCTTTACTTTATCATGTGTTTCTTAATATTATAGTTCTTAATCTGGCAGTACAGCATTTTATATCCAGCTTAAGAGACCTGGTCTTAGACTAGGCAGTGATCCTTGCAACCATTAACATATACTGTCTATATCTTATCAAGGTACCAGTGCCTTGCTGCTAACATTTTTTCATCACTCTCTTACTTGATTTAGCCTTAATTTGCTCTACACTTTTCCTGTAAGCCAGCTCAAAAGCTTTACTCAGTTCTCAGACAGAAATGCACATCCAGTCATTCATTATTCAGTTCTTTTGCATCCATTCTTTCCACAGCATTCTTTCTTGATATTGTCATACGCTTAAACTTGTTCATCTTGTTCCTTAATCACAGCTTTTGTATCTGTTTTATCAAGTTTAGTACCTGAATTTGGTGTTCACGTGTTACAAGATATAATTTAAATATTATAACCCTTTCTCGTTTAGCGCTTAAACTGATGATGATAATACAACATATGTATGAAGGGTAAAGAGCCATTTGTTGCATTTGTATGTTTAGAAAAGGAATTTGATGAAAGTTGATAGGGGAACTATGTGGTAGATTTTGCAAATGTATGATATTGGTGGCAGGCTACTGAAAGCAATTGAGAAGCTTTTGTGCAGAGTGTAAAGCTCAGAATAAATGATGTCACCATGGTTGCTCAACATATTTACAGATGGGGTTGGAAAAGAGATGAATGCTAATGTGTTGGGAAATGTTGCTGGATTAAAATATATTGAATCTCATATAAAGGGGAATTATCGCATTTGCTCTTTTTCTGATGAGGCAGTTCTTTTGGCAGATAAATCTGGAAAGGCATGTAAGAGAAGGAATTCAAAGTGAACTTTAAAAAAAATCAAGATAATGAAGATGAAAAGTCATGGCAATGATAGATTAAATATCAAACTGGAGGAAGGGAATATGGAGGAAGTGGATGTATTTAGATGTTTAGGAGTGGATATGTCAGCAGATGAATTTATGTAAGAAAAGGTCAATCATAGAATAGATAGGGTAAGGGAAGATGGGTGGTGTGTTGAGGTATTTGTGGAAAGAATTATATTTATCTACAGAGGCAAAGAGGGAATGTACCAGAGTATAATAGTATCCACACTTTTATATGAGTATGAGGCCTGGGATTTGAACGTTGTAATGAAGAAGAGGCTAGAGGCAGTGGAGATGTCATGTTTGAAAGCAATATGTAATGCAGATATCTTGCAGAGAATTCAGAACATAAGAATTAAAAGGTAAGGTAGGGTCTCCAAGAGTATGTATAATTCAGAGGACCAAAAGGGTTTTGTTGAGGTGGTTTGGTCATGTAGAAAGGAAGAATAGGATGGTAAAGGGGATATATAAATTTGGGGTGGGAGGGGAGGGGTAGGGGTTGTTCCAGAACCTGGTTAGAAGGAAAGGGTTAAGGAGGCTTTGAGTTTTATGGGCTTGAGCATCCAGCAGGCTTATGTGAGCATGTTAAATAGGAATGAATGGAGAGAAGTGGTTTTTAATGGACGTGTTAGAGTATGAGCAAGGTTACATTAATGGTGGGATTCTTTTAAGTGTGGGTTATTTGTGAAATTGTAGGTATCTGCTTGAGAGTGACCAGAGTTATTTATACATCAATGAGCAACACTTGTCATCTCTGTTCCACACACAATTTAACTTTTTATCTCGTTGACGAGTTTGGATTATGTTGTACGTATTATGTAAGTACAGTATAGTATTCCCTATCCCAGAGTGGGAGTATTTGGACTAATAAGATAAATAACTTGGATGACAGTGGCAACAGATTACAACATGATTATAATAGACTTGCATACAGTTATTCTCTCTAACACATTCATTTGCCTGAATCATTTAGAATTATTAAGTATGATGGCTAAGCATGAAGCATCATCTACAGATTGTGCTTAATGCAGGCTCTATTCACATATATATTATTAACAATGGTTTTTCCATCTGATGTTGCGAATAAGAAAATTTGAACCAAAGTGACTTGTGTATTTGCTGTCATATGCCATTCAGTATGTACAGCGTAATGTAAAATGCTTTATTTTCACTTTATCATTTTATTTTGTAAATAAGATGAGACTATTCTAACCAGTTTACAAATTATGTTGTGGTTTTCTATAAATTGTCTTAGAAAATATATCTTATTTTCAGTATCATCCAAACCAAAATAATGTGTATCTGCGTCATCTGTATCAGCATCTACCTATCACTGTTTTTGCACTACCAGTATGCCCATTGCATAGCTGCCACTACATTCCCCACACCATCACCAGTTTTCATATCAAGTACTATATATCATGTACCTGGTGTTCTACCTCCTGACCACCTTCAGCATGTATTGGATGTACTTGGAAGGCACCACATCTAATGGCAATGACTAGGGAATAATGACTTCGGTTTTTGAAAGATCCCCATTTTGTATTAAATAAATCAATTGTAGTTTATAATTTAACACTGATCTTGCTTCAACCTTCAGGTGATAATTAATTATAATTTATTATTTTCATACAGGAGTATTTTATGTTGTCTGTTCTTTATGATAACTTTGTAAGCTTGAAATTATTACTTTTTTGTGGGGTTGGGAAGATGTGAGAGTGAGAGAATGAGTGTAAGTGTAAAATATCATATTGTAATATTTGAAGTGGCCATAGTTTTCCATCTGATTCAGTGTCTTGACTGTGTGCAAGAGATTTTACGTGTTATATCGTGTTTGAAGAACTATTAATGCTACGGCACTTGCACTTAGCCTCCTGGTGATTATCTTGAATTTATTCTGAGATCTTATGTTATTCTGCATTAGATTTTTTTCAGGTAAACCAAAATCTTGTAGACAATTCCTTTTTTTTTTTTTTTTTTTTTTTTTTTTTTTTTTTTTTGGAAAGTGCTAAACCCTTAAGTATTATATTGCACCTGAAGAATTGAAGGTAATGAGATGTGATCTGAGGAAGGGGAGGGTAATTCCCAGTTTTTGGATCAAGAGCCCTTCACTAGCATCAAGCCCTTGCCACCTTCAATCCTCTTGAATATTTCTTTGCTTTCAGCTGCTCCCATTTATTATATTACTTTTAAATATAAAGCTGTTGTAACTGGGAGACCTTCTCATGCAGAGATTGCAAGGTATTATTTTCTCAGCATTTTAATTTTACATGTCATTTCAGAGTAGCTCATGCTACTCTGAGCTGCCTCTTCTCAGCATGGTGCCTCCATCACTATCAACACTGATGAATGGTGTATACACATTTGTCACTGTTTGTGTTTAATCATCATCCAGTTTGAGCAGTGTCATATGTGTGTTCCTCTGAACACCAGTAGTGTGTATACTATAAATTGTACTTCTTTCTACCATTTACTCTTTAACTATTAGCAATGTGGTGACTGTATGTACATTATGCATACATGCATTCCATGTGCATATACAGGACATGTATGTATACCATACAATTTATATACTCTCTCAATACATGGCTGTATCCCACTGAGGCGGGGTGGCCCAAAAGGAAATATGAAAGTTTCTCCTTTTACATTTAGTAATATGTACAGGAGAAGGGGTTACTAGCCCCGTGCTCCCGGCATTTTAGTTGCCTCTTACAACACGCATGGCTTACAGAGGAAGAATTCTGTTCCACTTCCCCATGGAGATAAGAGGAAATAAACAAGAACTAGAAAGAAAATAGAAGAAAACCCAGAGGGGTGTGTATATATGTGCAAGGGGCTAGTAACCCCTTCTCCTGTATATATTACTAAATTTAAAAAGGAACTTTAGTTTTTTCTTTTTTGCCACCCCACCTCAGTGGGATGTGGCTGGTACGTTGAAAGAAGAAGACATGCATGTGTAGTGTGACCTAAATGTAAGTAGAAGTAACAAGACGTACCTGAAATCTTGCATGTTCATGAGACAGAAAAATGGACACCAGCAATCCTACCATTTTGTAAAACAATTACAGTTTTACACTCGCTTGGCAGGACAGTAGTACCTCCCTGGGCGGTTGCTGTCTACCAACCTACTACCTATAAAATTTATATACGTAACCATTAATCTGTAATAAAGTTGTAATTACTGCATGGATTGCTGGGGATTGAACCATTTCAATTAAGCACTTGTAACTTCTTTCCCTTCTCCTTGGGTAAGTGGAACAGAATTCTTCCTCCGTAAGCCATGCATGTCATAAAAGGTGACTAAAATGCAAGGGGCTAGTAACCTCTTCTGTATACACTACTAAAGTTAATAAGAGAAACTTTTGTTTTTCTTTTTTTGGGCCACCTTGCTTTGGTGGGATACGGCCAGTTTGTTGAAAGAAGATTAATAAATTTAAAAAAGGAAAAGAGAAACCCCTCAAGGAAGGTTCCTTGATGCTGGTGAGGGACTCTTGATCTAGGGAACTGAATCTGTGCTCCAGTTCCATGAATTAAGCCTTAAATACCTTCCACATCCCCCCACAGGCAC